CTCAGTAAAAATATTACTGAGGGTGATGTCTGCAAATTTACCTCCTATGTTTTCTTCTAGGAGTTTTATGGTTTCAGGTCTTACATTTAAGTCTTTAATCCATTTTGAATTTGTTCTCGTATATGATGTAAGTAGATGGTCCATTTTCATTTTTTTGCATGTCCGATTTTCCCAGCACCATTTATTAAATAGACTATCTTTACTCCAATGTAAATTCTTGCTTCCATTGTCATAGATTAAGTGACTGTATATGGATGGGTTTATTTCTGGGCTCTCTATTCTATTCCATTGGTCTATGTGTCTGTTTTTATGCCAATACCATGCTGTTTTGATTACTATAGCCTTGTAGTATGATTTTATGTCGGGTAACATGATGCCTCCCACTTTGTTCTTATTTCTCAAGATTGCCATGACTATTCGGGGTCTTTTATGGTTCCATATAAATTTTAGGATTATATGTTCTATTTCTGAGAAAAATGTCCTTGGTAGTTTGATAGGGATTGCATTGAATCTATATATTGCCTTGGGTAGTCTTGACATTTTAGCTATATTAATTCTTCCTACCCATGAACATGGTGTGTATTTCCATTTATTTGTATCTTCTTTAATTTCTCTCTTCAGTATCTTATAATTTTCTGAGTACAGGTCTTTTACTTCTTTGGTTAAATTTATTCCTAGATATTTTGTTGTTTTTGAAGCAATTGTAAACGGGATTGATTTCCTGATTTCTTCTTCTGATAGTTCATTATTGGTGTATACAAATGCAACTGATTTCTGAATATTAATTTTGTATCCTGCTACCTACTAAATTCATTTATCAGCTCTAACAGTTTTTTGGTGGAGTCTTTGGGATTCTCTATGTATAGTATCATGTCATCTGCATATAATAACAATTTTACTTCCTGCTTTCCAATTTGGATGCCTTTGATTTAATTTTCTTGTCTGATTGCTGTAGCCAGAACTTCCCAGTTTTCTGATTTTCAATGGGTATTTTGTTCTGTCCAACCCTCTAAGCTGAGTTTCTAGCCATCCTGATTAGCCTACCAAATCTCATGCCACGATCTTCCCATGAAACAGGACACGTTCATTAGAAATCATGGCCTGGGCCCCAAGATTGATTGAGGCCTCCCCGTCTGCCCGCAGCGCTCAAGCACACTACCCTCACCCATGCCTCACAAAGGTTCTCCAGGTGGGTGATGTTATCACCCCAGCCTCAGAGGTGAGAGAAATGGGAATATTCAGTGAGCTCACAGCCAGCGAGCAGCAAAACTAGATCAAACTCAAGCAGCCCAATTCCAAAGCCTCTGCTCTCAACCCTTCCATGTTGCTGTTAAGTAGAGATGATGTTCCTTAAAGAACATCTAGGGACCAAATAGGTTTCACATATCTAGTAAGGAAGAAGAGTTTACAACATGGATTGAATCTTTTTTGTTGAGGTTTTGAAAAATAAATATATATATATACACTCTATTACCCACAATGGTACTAGACACAGCACTGCAGAAAAGCACCTGATTGGATGAGGAGCATCCAGTGTATAATAAGCCCTTGATAAGTATTTGTTCATTAAGTGATAAGAATGGTCAGGCCAATGAGTTGCAGCCTCTCTCTGAGACAACTGGGAAATTCATCACAATAAGCTGAGGCCTCAGCATAGCAGGGAATAAAAACCGCTTAACACCATGATCATGGTGCACATGACATGCTTTATAATCCTATTAGCCACAAAATCCTCTCTTATCCCAAATTCAGGATCATTAAAATAATTTGATTCAATGGGTAGAACCTTAATTCAGGTTCAGACCCAATGTTGACAGGCCGAGAATTATTTATATCACTTACCCTCTAATTCTGTTTAGCTGTTTAGCAAGCATGATGCCTCATCACTAAGTTCTATTTATATTAGAATGGTGGGGAGCTAAATAAAATGCTTTCCATGCAGGGGCAGTAAATGTGAACATTTATGTGGTTAGTAGATTAGCTAGTAAGATATACAAAGGAGGCTACCGTGTGGAATCCAAGTAAAATTTTTATTTTAGCTGCTATCTCAGGAGCTATCATACAGAAGAGTTCAGTTCAAGTACAAAACAGCTCCAAAAACCTGATTATTAAAAAAAAATGTGTCAACTACTCCAGTATGCTACATGCTGAGACAATCTTGCCCAGAGCAGAATAGAGCTGCAGGCTGTAGATTAAGGAAAGTAATATCATGGCCTATATTTCCAACATTATCAGACCACTGGTAAGACTGTCCTCATCTAGAGAAAAGGATAATGAACCACGTGAACTTGAAAAGAGTTCTGGCTTTGAATAGAGGCTGACACGTGTATCTTGGTGGTGGAACTTTCCACACAGGGTGATCTCAGAGAGAAAAGGGGCTGTGGAAGTGAATGTCTCTGCCCCACTGTTGGTGGGCAGGCTTGACAGGAGGAAACACAGGTGGAGCTTTGGGGGATGTGAGGACATGGTGTCCTTGAAATGGGACAATCAAGCTGACCCCTGTCCCACAAGCATTCATACCAGGAATCAACCTGATCTACAGCTATAGTTGCAAGAAACTTCAAGAAGAATAAAAATGAGAGCCCTCAAAATTTATGTAAGGGACTGGGTAATTTTCTGGAAAAGATTCATTAGCATTTAAATAACAAGCCCCACTTATTTAAGCTCCACTTATCAAGTCGATAGTACCTGGAAGACATTTAGCCTCCTACCCATGAAAATGTTTTTCTATCTCTCTGAGAACCTCTCTCCTAGCATTTCAGTGGAGAGACACAATTATCATTCATACCTTGCTGTCCAGAGAGCTTGGCACTTTAGCATAACTCATTTACATTCTAATCAAGGCGGAAAAAAAAATCTTCCGATAAAGTCTTCTGTGGGATGTTGCCAGTAAGGGATGAATTGTGTCTTAAAATCAGTGCCCCAGAGAATATGCACCAAGATGGAGCATTTTGATGACCCAGGAAATCTTAAAATATATCGATTTGGCTGCCAACTTAATGCTTCTTTCCAGCAGGGTAGAATGATGGACTAGGTTCAAAGTCCAATAACTAGAAACTTGCAAAGGGGAAAATCCTTCATTTAAAAAGGAAGTCACTTCACCACTTTCAAATCTCTGCCTCCCGGGACCCAACAGGGAATTATAAACAAGCCAGTGTCATGCAGACACCATGTTAGAGCATTCAGATGTCCAGGGTGAGGACATGTGTGGTCAAGTAATGGGAAATCTCTGAACCAAAAAGTAAACGCTTGGGCTCCATTTTTATCACTTAATAGCTGAGCTGTGTCATTTCTGCTCTCGAAGCTTCTTTTGCCTCATTCATAAAGTGACCTTGGACTCTATGTGTTCATCCAGGGACCTATGTGTGCCAGGAGTTAGAGTAGACTCTACAGATGGACCCAAGGATGAATACCCAGCCCCTGTCTTGGAGAGACTTCCAGGCTCAGGAGAACACATAAATAAGTCAGGGTAATAATGCCACAGGTTGGACCTCTCGGTTTTGTTCTTTTGAAACTGCTCCGTTAGTGGTGAACAGTAAATATAGACTGCTATGTTTAGAAGTGGCCAGACCATTTTGAAGGATAACCATAAAATTCCTCTTTGAGAAGCAGGGAATTCAAAGGTAGAAAAGGCCCATCTAGGATCTTATGTTGCTTTCAGGCTGGAGCCCCAGAAAAAAAGCATTGCAGGTACCTGAGCCTCTCTGCTTTTCAGAGAATTCCAGAAGAGGCAATACTGTAGTCCACTCCAGTGTCCAACAGTCTGTGCTCTTAGAAATTCTTTTTTCTGAGCTCACCAAAGAATCAAGCTAAGAACTCGGTCCACCTCACCGACTTGCTGTTGTTGGTTCTGGATTTAGAGACTGTGGGACCCACCCAGTACCAGCCCATGTGTGCATAAACCTCTGTGCTTTGGAAGATGGTAGACATGTGAAATCCAGACTCTTATTAACTCTTTATTCTCCAGATTGAATAATCGAAGTCTTCGTCAAAGTTCAAACAATTCCATTGAAGAGATAAGCCACCTTACGCAAAGGGCTAAGAGAGCATTAGGACAAATGGTATTGTCCCTCTGCTCTGGGAACTTGCAATTTAGTTAATGAATAAAATAGTTGTACTCAAGGCAGTGAGTCAATACGAGGAAACAGTACCACGGGGGACAGCTGTACCTGCTCCCTAGGCCTGATGCAACAATGGACCACCAATTGGGTGGCTCAGAACGGAATGGTACTGTGTCACAGCTCTGGAGACCAGAATCCAGGTGTCAACAGGGCCATGCTCCCTCTGCAACCTGTAGGGGAGGCACCTTCCTGCCTCTTCCCAGTTCCTGGTGGTTGCTGACAAACTTTGACATTCCTTGGCTGACAGCTGTGGCACTCCGTCTCTGCCTCCATCGCCCCATGGCCTTCTTCCCTCCTGTGCTGTCGCCTCTCCTCATAAGGACACCAGTCATGCTGGATCAGGGCTCACTCTACTCCAGTATGACCACCTCTTAACTCATTACATCTGCCGTGACCTTATTCCTAAATAAAGTCACATTCTGAGGTCCTGGGGGTTAGGGTGTGGGCATAGCTTATGTGGGGGGCACAGTTCAACCTGTATCAACACCTCAAGGTAGGAGGCCTGTGGGAAGGAGACCACTTTAGGGCATATTTGACTGAGCTCCCTGGTACTCCAAAGACGGTAATTCTCAGGAAGTTTAAGTGATGTGTGTTGGGTCATGAAACAAGGAGCCAAGATCAAAGCTCAAATTCATGACTCCTGAACCCAGTTCTAATGTCCTTTCCCTTACGGGGTTTATTGAGATACTTAAGTATCACATGATGGTCTCAGGCCGTGAGAGAAACGAAGCAAGTGCTCTGGACAGGGACAGTCAGGGAAGGCTTCCTGGAGGCCTACGCCCTGCAGGATGGGCCGGGAGCACTGCACTCCACACCCTGACCACAGCTGACCACCCCCCTCTAGAGACCCAGACAGACTTTATTCTCGGCTCTTCACAGATCCCACCACCAGGAGGAATGCCAAGGCTGGGCCCACAGCCAGAAACCGGTACGCCAGCCAGTGGACCCTCAACAGACCTCACCCCACCATTTCAGCACACACGCTCACCACGGACTGGAGGCTGCCCACGCCCAGAGCTGTGGGGTCAATGGACAAGGAGAGTGACAGTTACAGCGTCAGCCCCTCACAGGACACAGGTAGGGCCCACATGCCACCTCCTCAACCCTGGCACGAGCCTGGCCCACACCATGGGCTTCTCGAGCTCCTGCTGTCTTTCAAGGTCACTTTCAAATGGTTAGGCCATTTATCTAACAGGTACCAATACAACTATGCAGCATGGACGACATCCGGGCCTGGTGAATTCTGCAAGACAGAATCAAAGGGCGTCCGCTTTGCAGGCACCCTCCATCCCACACGCATGCCACTCTTTCCTTCTTGTTCCCAACCCCCTGACAGAAACGCAGACATTTTTCAACTTTCACCCACACGATTGCACTGATTCCTGGTGATGCTCTGAGGGCGTCTGACCCCCTACCATCTCCAGGATTAAGACGCTGCACTTGAAGTTATGTGACAAGTTCAGAGCACCCTCTGTAGGGAACATAGGCTGATCCATTTGACAATCAAGCAGGGGTTGATTAGAAGGTAAGTCATCTAGTCTATGCCACCAGCCACCAAGGTTTTGCTTCTGAGAGAAGCCAGGGCCTAAGAATAGCTCTGGGTTGCCCACCTCCCCCAAACCTGAAACTTTGAAAAGAAATTATATGTAAACCTAATAGCTGTAGAGAATTTTAATACTCATGTTCTTTTGTTCTGGGTGATATACTTCAAAAATAGTGTTCCAAAGGTGGAACGTCACCGTGTACATTTATTTTTATGGCTTTTACTTCTCTTAAAAGAGTCTCAGAGTTCCACGGAGGCGACTGCAAAACTTTGAAACTAGTGGGCTTAAAATGCAGAGATTCTTCTAACCAAGATGCACCCCGTTTCTGCCCTAGCGGCTTTCTAGTCCCCATAAAGGGTGGCAGACCAAAAAAATGAGTCGCAGGTATCAGAGGCCATTCTGCCGAGAGGCCAATTTCCGTGCAAACTCACAGCTCCATCTGGAATTCTCATCACGTCTTCCTTGCTGAGCTGAGGCCGGAGGAGCTGAACTTCAGAGCTCAAGTCATTCACTGCCAATTAAAAAGTCTCTATGGCACACATCGAATTGCAAGTCACAGCAGGACGGGGAGCAATGCAGGGCGGGGAGCACTGCAGGTCATTTACATCACATTCCCAGTTGTTTGAATGAAAGTGGAATTTTTTAAGAGGGTGGGGGGTGCATTACTGGTTTATGGAAACATCCCAGGCTTGGCGGCATCAAAATACAGCATCTGACTACAGCAGTGATGCGATGGAAGGAAAACTCGCTGAGGCTTAGGAAGCCAGCCTCAAGTGACAAGGTGGTCCTTAGAGAAAGACCAGGACTCCTGCCGGGTCATCCAGTGACCTGGCCGAAACAGCCACAAGCCATCAGTCTGTGCAAACTGAAAGTGACCGTTTACCCGTCTTGTTTTCTCTGTTCCACGGCACAGATCGAGCGCGAAGCAGCATGGTCTCCACAGAAAGTGCCTCCTCCACTTACGAAGAACTGGCCAGGGCCTACGAGCATGCCAAGATGGAAGAACAACTGAGGCACGCCAAGTTTACCATCACCGAGTGCTTCATCTCAGACACATCATCCGAACAGTTGACGGCAGGGACAAATGAGTACACAGACAGTCTGACCTCCAGCACCCCTTCAGAATCGGGGATCTGCAGGTTCACTGCATCTCCCCCAAAACCTCAGGATGGAGGACGAGTGATGAACATGGCGGTTCCAAAGGCACATCGGCCAGGTGAGCAAAGCACCGCGTGCACCACTGTTGAGGGAAGCTTGCCTTCCTGATTCGCACTTGTCCCCCCTGAGAGCCCTTCTTGGAGTTTAGACTGGGCATTCTGTTTATTGGTTGTGGTGTAGTGAGCCACCCCAAAGCTGCTGGCTTACAACAACCTTCGCCTATATTGTTTATGAATCTGAAATCTGGTGAGGGCATCGTGGGGACAGCCCATCCTGTTCCAGTGTCAGGGAGGCAAAATTCGGGCTGGAGAAGCCACTTGTAAAGTGGCTCCCGCACCTGGAGAGTTGGTGCTGGCCATGTCCTCCTATGTGGGTTCCCCCACAGGTGGCTTGGGCTTTGCCACAACCCGGTGACCCTGTCCTAAGAGCCAGTGTCCCAAGAGGCAGTGCAAATAGCTCATGTCTTAAGGCTGAACCTGGAGATTGACACATCACTTCTGCCATATTTTATTGTTCAAGCAGTCACAGAGCTCTAGGTGCACAGATTCTAAAGAGGGAGACACCCCCACCACCCCTGGATGAGAGGAGTATCAAAAATATGGGGCTATGTTTTAAAACTGCTGTACTGAGGGCTCAAAGAAGAGGGGTCTTACAGTGCCCCAGCGTTTAGGACTTGGTTTTGCTGCGTTACCCAAGGTGACAGACTGGCCAGTGTCACATCCACTGTAGTTTGGTGTTTGCCTTTGGCGAGGGTGGTCTGGGTGTGCGGATGAAGCTGCACAATCGAAGGCCTGCAGGGTCTGGCTGGTCATGTAAATGAATGAATGGAGCAGGGTAAGAGGGAGTGATGGGGCATGGACAATTGACAAGCTCAGGCACAGTCTAGAGCAAAATGACGTTAGCAAGCTCCCACCAACTCATCCCAAGTGGCAGCGGGGCCTGGTGTAAGTGAGTTTCTCAAGAGAAGCCAAAGATCTTGGTTTCACATCATACTCAATTTTTATGTGTCGCCCAAGATATTTGCAAACCATTGTACAGGGCAAGTAAAGCACATCTTTAGACCGAAGCCAAACCATGGCAGCCAGCTGTAGTCATTCTCTGAAGAATCACTTTTTAAAAAAATTTTTAACCCTAAAATGGCTGCCCATAGAGGTTCCTTCACAGACTGGCCTATCCCTTCTTGTTTAATCCAGTTTTATTTCTCTTTTTTCCCATTTCCTGAACTACTATACTGGTTCTATTTCAAAAATTTATCTTCACTTTTAAATTGCTGTGATTCCCTTGGGTTTTGTGGCATAAGGCCCAGCTGAAATGAGCCTTATAAATGCATAAAAATACATAAAATAGAAATTGTCTATCTAGCAACTAATCTTTCAGAGTCAAGATCCATGCCAGCAAACAATAAAGAATGATGGCTTCATTTATTTTCATGCTGGCAACCTCCTCAGGGAGATGGAGAACTGTTACTTGTGGGTGGTTTTATTTCAAGTATTTTTGTTGGCATTTGTATGCAAGTCAAATGCAGAAAAACGTAGGACAGATGCCATGACTTTCTGTGCCTGTCCAGCCTGAGGGTGAGAAAGAGACAAGAGGAGAAAATGGGCATGTTCTCAGCCTTGCTGGGTTTCAGTTGCTGCATCTGTGAAATGGACATAGCATTGCTACCCAGCAAGGGCTCGCTGCCCAATGTGCATGGAAGCCAATACTATGACACTGGTTCTTGAGAAAAGATAAAAGCTTTTATTAGGAGGTCAATGGGCGGGGAGACAGAAAACAAGAACCCTGTCTCCCAGATCCAGGGTTCGGGGCAAGATGTAAGGGTTTCAGCACCAGACCTTCCTGGACAGCGGACCCTGTGTGTCTGAAAGGTTTCTGTGTTTGAGCTCCACTCACATCCTAGGCCTGTGGCTCCTTGTGGGTGGGGGAGCAGTTAAGGGCTCACCAGTGCTACTCGTGAGTGCTGTACCTGAGGTTTAAACTTTGGTTCCGGGTCTTGTTAGAAACAGGACATCAGCAATTCGAGCTGGTTCTGTGGTTACAACATCAATGCCTGCCATATGGGGTTTGGGTAAGAAGCAAGTAGCACATACAGGTAAAGCTGTTAAGCAGTTGTTTCTGTTACTGCCTTGTAGACCATGTGGTTCGAATTCCCAGTGACTCCAAGGGTGGCCTCCAGATGTGCACCTGGCTCCCCTCTTCCTTCCTTCTTTTGTTTATTTTCCTTTAGTGGCCATTGGCCGCTGGGGGGTGCATCACCTCATGTGTGTGTCACCCAGTTAAGTGCTTTATGCTCCCCTCGAAGATACCATTTTCCCCCCTCACAGAATGAGCTCCTGGGTTGTATGACTGTCCTATTTGTGCAGGCCTCAAATTAAGCAAAGGCTTGAGTTTCCTTCCGATGACTTGTTCATATTGTTGGATTAATACTGAAAAAAAGTTTGAACATTTTTCAGGACATTGTTGTCTAGCTCCATCAGAGCAATGGAAGGATCACAACTAACTAAGTTCCTCTCGCTTGATATACTATTTACACTGTAATGACTTTATAACTGTAGATATAAATAATTACTTTATTTTTTTTAAGATTTTATTGGGGAATCGGGGAAGGGGAACAGACAAGTTGCTGTCCTTTTGTTGTTGTTGTTC